AACGCAGACAAACATCCATGCATTGAGTGGGATTGGAACCCACAGTCTACTGACTTTCAACGGACTACATGGAGTTAAATAAAATAAGACAGAACTGTTCATTTTTAAATTACCTTGAATATGTGTGTTCATGTTGGATACGTACGTCGCAAGATCTGCAGTTCAGATTTTGATACGGTCCCAGCGAACAGACTAAAGTAGCGGCAATGCTTTTGACAAGTGTTCGGGAGAACCTCAGTTCGAATTTCGGCTGAACATTCGCTATCTTACGTCATTTTCTTCAGCCCCTCCAGAAAAACTACACTTTGCTCTTATCCAAAAGGTCGAGAAGCCGGGATAGCGCAGCCGGTATAGCGACTGAGTACGGACCGGGAGACGGAGGGATTGGAGTTCGAGTCCTGTAGGGTCAAAATTTTTCATCTTTTCCACGTCGTCCAGACCGGCTCTGGGGCCCACGCGGCCTCCTATCCAATGTGTACCGGAGTCTCTTTCATTGCGGGTAAAGTGGCCGGGGCTTGAAGCTGAACACTCACCTCCAGCTAGTACTGAGGGCAAGAAAATGTGGATCTATACATCCACTCCCCTATATGCCATGAAGGCGTATGGAGTTGTGAATGTATAAATCCACATTGGATAGGAGGTTCCACAGGCCCCAGAGACGGTCTGAGCGACAGGACAACTTTACCTTTTACCTCCAGAAAAATTCCGGTAGTACAATACGTGTATTAAGCCAAAACAGTTTACTTCCAAATCCTTGCAATGAAACTTTAATCTGACATCCTGAAATTCGACTGTACACAGTATATATATACCGTGAGCGTTGTAAAACATCCTACAGAAAGACACGGTACCATGTTACGTCTACGTTGAATGTTGTTATTCGTACGTGAAATCCATGTTATGCGAGAGACTACTGAAGAGCAGCAAACAAATTACAAACAAATCACAAAGTTGTGTTCTCCGTATTGACACGGAAGTTTACATTGCGCAATCCATCAGTGTTACAACGTACGGTTAAACCGTCACTCAATCACAAGTGGAACAAACTAGAGCGAATATACATACGGGTCCCCAGAGCTTCTGCTTAGTGCGCCAAACTGGATTTCACAACGGCATGGAAAACATTTGGCGAACCGCTGTGCAGTGTGGCTCTAGAGAGCTGCTACCCCGCTGCGAACTTGTTTGTTCACCGCATGAAGAGTAGTTCTTCCGTCTGGATTTCCGTCCCTTATTCCAGAAGTCCTTCGATTGTACTGCAGATTCGGTTACTGCAAACGTTCCTATGGAAAACTTTCTATATATAAAACTCGGATATATATACCTCAAGGATTTTTGAGAGAATTTATAAACAAAACGCGTCTGTTCCCGTTTTATCCAATTTGGGCCTGCTGCCTCCTGGTACAAGACATATGCAAACACCAGCCGACATGCTGTAGGCTTGCACGCCTGACCTTTCAATTCCACCCTCACCATAACAACGGCATCACTTTCACATCGATCCTTTTGTAACGCAGCACTGAACACCTTCTCAGCAGTTCATCTTGAAATTTAAATGCTCCAATTATATTCAATATGTAGTAACAACGCCGGTCACGGTAGCCGAGCGTTCTAAGGCATGTACCGTCTCCGCTCGCTTGGAAACCGGGATCGTGGGTTCGAATCCCACTCAGGGCCTGGATGTTTAGTTTGTATGTGTGCGGTTTTCTGTGTTTGTGTACAGGTAGAGGCCTTGGGACAAGCTGATCACCCGCCCAAGGAGTCCTACCGAATGTGTAAGCTCTAGAAAAACCGAAGTGAACGGAGAAGTTCATGGAGGTAGGCCTAGGCCCACTGGGGCTGTAGTGCCAAGGAAAAAAAATGTAGTAACCACACATACGTGGAACACAAGGTAAAGAGGAGTCGAAGTGAGGAGTAACAAAAATACGACGAAAGGCTCTACAAGGCAAACCCAGTTTCAATTTAAAAGGTTCACAAATCATGTAGGATATTCACACGTCACAGAAAACACTAAGACTGCGGTCTTGTAAGAAGTGTCGCCATGTCTAGCAGATGTTTATAAATATTTCGGAGGAAACGGATGTTTCTATTTTCAAGAAAAATGGGGGAAGGGACCTCCTCTGTGGTCTGGCGGCCAGAGTTCCTGCCTACAGATCCAGGGGACCAGGTTCGATTCCCGGCGCTACCAGATTTTCTGAGAAGTAGTCTGTCTGGAACGGGGTCCACTCAGCCTCGTTAGGATAATTAAGGAGCTATTATTATTATTATTATTATTCCGGTCTAGAAAATCTAGATTAACGAGCGTGGCAATCCGATGCGCTGACTACGGGACACCCTCTATCAGCAAAAGTTGGCACTACACTTTGCCGACAAGCGGCGGTCGCTCGGTCGGTATAGTCCGCTTGCGGATTCAAGCCACGGATTTTTTTGTTTTTTGTTTTTAGGGGCAGGTTCCTCCGAAACCCTGGCCGCTATCTATCGGTTACACGGTGTCATATCTGAACACAATAATTGTTATACTCGCCGCTGCAAAATCAGAAAATATTTCTTGGAAAGGTACAGACTTCATTTCCATAAGGATGCTACAAGAACTACTGAAACACATCTTAGCACGGATGATTATGAATTACTGTACAAGATGTAACCTACTTCAGGCAACCGTTCCAAGGACAGGACAGTCTGTTCTTGGTACACCTGGTCCCTGAAGTGAAGAACGACTTTAATAAAATGTTCTAGTGCTTAACACCTTATCTTCCCTGAATAACATCATTATTCCACGTGTTTTCAAACGAAATGACGCGAGTTCGACCCTTGGCTGACGTCCTATTAGCATACCATGGATTTAATATTGACTGAGGGTGTCCATCAACTAGTTCCAAGCCCAAACATAAACATTCGAAAATGGAAAGGGTATTGCTCGCGACGCGGTGACTTCACTTCACGTTTGTCGGGCAGGAAATTACGACGCCTGACGTCCGGTCGTTCATCCCCCTCCCTCTCCCACTCAAAGACCACACTAGCAAGGCCATCTAACGAGACAGCCACGTACCTCATACAGATCGGTTCCAAAATCATGTCACATAACACAAGAATGTTAACTTGTTTAATGTAATCATGTAATAAGCCTTTCGCCGCTTCTGTGTTCTAGTGGACAGAGTTCCTGGCTAAAGATCCAGAGGTCTCGGGTTCGATTTCCGGCGCTACCAGATTTTCTAAGAAGTAGTGGGTCTGGAACGGGGTCCACTCAGCCTCGTGATGATAATTGAGAGCTATTTCAAGGAAATAGAAGCTCCTGTCTAGAAAACCGTGATTAACGGCCGTGAGGATCCGTTGCGCTGACCATGTGACACCCTCTATCCGCGCTTGGAGGTCGCTCGTTTCGGTTGCGGACAACAGGCCTGGGAAGTTTTATGTAATAAGCCTTTTAAGCAGCAATGATAATATGTGAATCATCCCCTGTAACGGTCATTGAATGTGAATATTTCCTGCAGAATATATTGTGACCGCCATGACTTCATGAAACACAACTAAATAGCTGATCTCTAAATGGGGACGCAGTGTGTTTCCTATGCGAATGGAACCGAATTTGTAAATACTATTTACATGAACTCAGGGTTTAAAACGTTAACGAGCGTGTGGGTTCAGACACAAAACTCAAACAAATGCAATGCAAGTGCTGAAATAAAAAAAATTATTTGGTACACTCGAAAGATCTGAATTCCACGTTTTAAAATATGAACACAACATCAAAATACCAGAAATACTTATATATACAGTGTGTCCAGGTTCTGTTAGGACTGTGCTCATTATAAATACAAGACGTGAACTATTTTCAAAATTTCACTCTTTTTATTCAAAATATTCTCCTTCTTAATCAATACATAGCTGGAATCGATTGTAAAGTTTTCGAAAACAGTCACTGTACTCCCTTTGTGGAATCGCAATTTAAAACTGAGGTAGATTCCTTTTGGATGTCCTGGATGGTGTCGTGACGGTCTCCTTTCATCGCCAACTTAACTTTTGGGAACAACCAGAAACCTGCTGGAGCCAAATCTGGCGAATATGGAGTATGATCAAGGACTGTGATTCTTTTTCTGGCCAAAAAAACGCGCATGATCTTCGATTTGTGGGGCGGGGCATTGCCGTAGAGTAGCGATCAGGAACCCTGCTCTCAATTCAGGTAGAATTCGAAGAATTCTCGCCCACGAACGATTGAGGACTCCGAGTGTTAGAACAGTACTGTTCAATTCAAGGTCAGAACACACGATGCAGCGATGCTTGTGCTTAGAAATTATAGATAGTCACAGCTGAAACTTCAATAATCTTAACGCCACAACTCGCCAACAGATGGCATTGCAGGACAAAATTAAAAAAAAAAAAAATAGTGTTGCCGGATCCTGGGCACACCGTGTAAGTCATACTGCACTCTCGAATCCCTTCTAATGGGACCAATGCGTACGTGAATAGGGACTTCCCTCCTGATACACTTCGTGCAGAGGAGCAGAAGCCAGTGATACGAGTGTATTCACGGATTCAATTATAGAGAACAGGAAACATGAAAAATCGGATTATAATAAAATACAAATTGTTATGAAACACACCTGGAGTAATGATGCACAGAGTACCATAAAACTAACGTGAGAAACAAACGTATGCCCAAAAATAAACATTCTTCTTTAGTTTAAGTCTAAAAACAGATACGAGATTAATTCTTCCTGTGCCAGCAAGGCCATAACCTAAAGAGTCAAATGGTTTAACTGTGGATGTACTTGAAATTAAAAGACGCTGCAACGAGTGACCCATTTAAGGATTGATGCATGTGTTCAGAACAATGGAGGGCATTTCCAGCATGTTCTGTGAGCACTGTTCACTGAAACATAAAATACAGTGTTCTCGGGTAGGATTGTAAATGGTCGCTCTGTATAATGACAAGTTAACAGTGATCACTGAGACAGAACGAGAGTTTAAACACGCAAAGAAATATATACAAGCTGATCTCCTACCTTGGGTTGCCGCGAAGAGCTGCGTGATGCAGAGCATTGAAGCCGTTGTTGTTGGTCAGCAAGAGGTCAGCGCCGTGGTCCAGAAGTAACGTCAGCATATCGTCGCGCTTCTTCGAGATGGCGTCGTGCAGTGGCGTATCACCTTCAGAATCCTGCAAAAATCCAAGAAGTCGGTATTAGGGTGGTGGAGTACTTCCTTAACTGTACGTAATTTAGAACTAGGCAGGTGTAGTCTAAATTCTGGCTGGATGATTTTCCATTATTTACCGCAGTGGCGCGATGCAGCTATTCTTTTACGAATTCAGCTGTTGCCAAGCAACAAAACAATGGACCTAACGCGTATGCAGAATGAAAGAACTAACAGGTACGAACCACAAGCGGAGAAGTCCTGGGGTGTATACCACTAAGCTTAAAACGCTCGTTCTGACCTCATCATGCACAAAATAGGAACACTTTGGTGTGTAAGAACTCCTTACGTGTCGGATTGATAAAGAGACAAGTTCGATTAGTAGACGTTACATATATTTTTCCATTGAACATTCTCAACTGAATTTAAAATCCAGTCGAACTAAGAAATCAAATCAAACTTAGCAATCCAGGTTCGTCCGTAATTTACGGTACACATTTCCATTAGTTGGATGTCATCGAACCGAAGTTCTCTGAGCTGTGGCGTCCTTGCAGCTTCAGTACCTCTCGATATACAATATTGAGTATATAGTATAAAGTTCAATGTATAAACAGCCTAACCAGACAAAATTTCACATGTACAATTATTTATCGTTTATTGAATCCCACAGAGAGTTAAAAATTGCATGAAGTAGACATGTCATTTTTAACTCATAGATCCTTCAACAACATTAGATTTAAGGCATTTCTCTAACGGCAGTAGCTCACAGCTGGACGGGTCATGAAGCTGACTACTACATCTCCCATCGCAACACCACTGAAACTCTCCGTTCACTTCGGTTCACTACATCTTAGACATTCGGTAGGACTCCTTGGGCGGGTGATCAGCTCGTCGCAGGGCCTCTACCTGTACACAAACACAGAAAAAACGCTCGCGCGCGCATACACAAACACTAAACATCCATGACCTGAGTGGGATTCGAGCCCACGAAGACAGGGCATGCCTCAGACCGCTTGGCTACCGTGACCCGGCAANAGTGGAGCCGATCACAGTGGCCGAGCGGTCTAAAGCATGAAATGTCCTCTCCTGCTGAAACACTGCGATCGTGAGTTCGAATACCACTCGGGGCATAGATGTTTGTGTTCGTTTATTTTGTGTGTCTGTTGTTCTGTGTTTAGGTAGCGGCCTTGCGACGGGCTGATCCCCCATCCAAGGAGTTAAACCGACTGTATATAGGATTAAAAAACCGAAAAAAGCAGCCAAGATCCAAAAGGCTGTAGAGCCAACGAGAATATATATATATATACGTGGAGCTTCACCTCCACTCTACATGCGTCTTCCTAGTAAGAGATTGGGAATATTTTATCGCCTTGGTGGAATCGCGGGGTATTTACAAAAGCAATTATTACAGGCAATGTTTCAAGCCGCCTGGAGAGGGCCGGGACCCTACAGATAGGCGCAAATAGCGAGTGTCTCTGCGCCCAACAACACGAGGGGAACTGGAAACTGAACTGTACAAAGAGAAACCGAGATGAGGACACGTGAACCCTGTGTTCCGGAAGTACATGGATGACAGGTTACTCGATACTGGGTGTACCAAATTCAACCTGAACTGAATCTGTAAACAAAAAGTTGAAACTTAATCGAATGTGAAACGCTGCATCTGAACATTGTAATAAAGAGACTGTATCAAACTGTCAACATTACAGTCTTCTCCATTTCTTCTACTCTGAAGATGGAGAAAGTAGGATCTTCCGAAACGTTTTAAGAATCTAAAACGCTATCCCAGAATACCGATGTGAGATCCTCAATTATCATACCGCAACGTGGATGGCACAACGGGAAGTACGAGTCACGTAAACTCTGCGGTCTCGCGAGTGACGTCACACACCCCATCCCTTCCTCCGTCGCCTCCCGCGATGACGCAACAGCACTTCCCATTGTGACGTAACAGGGGCCACCGCGGTTACTACGCAGCAATAAACAACTCTCGGCAGCGTTCCCCAGCAACGCCTGTAAACACGACGTTACGCAACGGTGGTATTTATCACGTAAGTGTTTTCTGTGTTGTCAGTGTGGAAGCTACATAAGAATTGAGTAGTAAGTATTGAGCCACATCCACATACTGGATCACGTTAAAATTAGGAATCTTTCGGAACCCATTGAAAATTTTACGGATTGGGAGCGGTTTCAAAGCCTCGCTTCTGAATTAATATCACCTAAACTAGAAATAGTCAGGATAGGGACCAGTGGAGGGCTCTTGTGAACACGGTGATGAACCTTCGGGTTCCATAAAATGCTGGGAAATTCTAGAGTAGCTGCACAATTGGCGGCTCCTCAAGAAGGGCTCAGCTCCATGAGTAAGTAAGTAAGTAAGTAAACTAGAAATTAATTCGGGGGTAGAAGCCGATAAAGCGGCACGCGACTTTGCAGCCTCTATTGCTTCGGCATATAGGCTGTCAACATGTAAAACTACACTTTCGGACATAAGCAACGATTTTCCTGGTCTAGATCGTTTGATAAAATATAAACGGAGGCTACGAAAACTGTGGCAAGAAACCAGGGATCCAGCCTGTAAAACGGCAGTCAATTGGGTCACCAAATCAATCAGGCGAATGACCAGAAAAAAGGCACTTGAACGGTGGGAAACAAAAATAGGTAACGCTGAAGTCACGCCTCAGGGTATATGGCCCATTGCGAAATCTCTCTTAAAGAGAGACGGACCAAGAGCACGAACTGCTATTCATGGTTCTTCTGGCCTCAAATTTCACCCTTCTGATAAAGCCAACGAAATTGCCGACTGTTTGGAAATACAGTTCACCCCGCATGATCTGTGCGACGATAACCATGAACGGCGGGTGGAGGCTAGAGTTCAAGCTCTGCTGGAAACCGTAGACGACAACCCCCCTCAAAGGATCAGACCATGTGACATTCAGAAATTAATAAAGTCCCTGAAATTAAAAAAGGCCTGCGGAATTGACGGCATCCCAAATGAATGCCTCAGGCACCTTCCAAGGCGACCACTGGTTCATCTAACCCATTTATTTAATCATTGCTTTCGGCTCTCTCATTTTCCAACTACTTGGAAGGAAGCAAAAGTAATAACTTTACCCAAACCCGGTAAAGACTCGAAATTCCCTCAAAATTTACGTCCGATCAGCCTCCTGTCCACGACAGGAAAACTATTGGAAAAAGCAATTTTGAATTTCGTCCAAAAAGATATTGAAGAAAGAGGCCTGCTCAACGTAAGTCAGTTTGGTTTTCGTGCACGTCACAGCACGACATTGCAATGTATGACGCTGGCGGACCACGTGACCCTTAATTTCAACAATAAAATTTCTACGGCTGCAGTGTTCTTGGACATCGAAAAAGCCTTTCATACCACGTGGCACTCAGGCTTGCTGTATAAGTTATCAAAACTGGAATTCTCTAACTCTTTGACCAAACTTATTGGGTCCTTTCTTTCTAAACCTAAGTTCAGGGTCTCGGTTGAAGGCGAAATGTCAACGCCAAGGGAAATGCAAGCAGGGGTGCCACAAGGTTCTGTCCTTTCCCCTACTCTTTTCAACTTGTACATAAACGATGCCCCCCAAACTCATGGTGTTAACCTGGCCCTCTTTGCGGACGACACCTGTCCATATGCGACAGATCGCAAGGAGGGTTTTATTGTTAGAAAACTCCAGCGCGGTCTCAGCTCAATGGAGACCTGGAATATAAAAATTAATGAAGATAAGACTCAGGGGGTCTACTTCTCTCGTGGTCGCCGACCGCCTGAGTCTTGTCTTACTCTAAATGGAAGAAATATTCCATTTGTAAATAGCGCAAAATATCTAGGTGTAATCTTCAATAAGAGAGTGACATGGAGATTACGCATAGAAATGATCGAAGCCAAGGCCTTCAGAACATTCATTAGAGTATATTCCCTATTTAAAAGTGAGCGACTGAGCGCTAACATTAAACTGACCTTCCATAAAGCTCTTATTAGATCCGTAATGACTTATGCTAGTCCCGCCTGGGAATTTGTGGCAGACACCCATCTAGTGAAACTGCAGCGCCTGCAGAACAGGGTTCTCTGCACGATTGGCAATTTTCCAAGGCGCACACCGGTCCTCGAATTGCACATGGCATTCAAAATTCCATACGTATATGATTACATAACAAAATTATGCAGGCAACAAGCAGAAGTCATACAAAATCATGATAATGAGAATGTTCGCAACACTGGACAAGGCGAAGCCAGCCACAGAAAGTATAAGAGGCTTAAACTTGGCGGCGGTCAAGCATACGCCCGTTCAAGTGACTAGACTGCCGTGGTAGCTAATACTACTAGAAATAGGGCATAATCTGCTGTACCGAGCCTGGACTGGCAGAGGCCTTGTATATATTATACATAGAAATAGGAATTAAGATTAAATATGTAAATACTGACAAGACTTATTAACACAGACTATGACTGATAAATGACAGGCCCGACCTCTCGTCAGAGAGGGCGCCCCAAATGAGGACAGTAACTTTCATATAAGAAAAAAACATCTGGTCATGAGCCCCTCTCGGGGCTCGACACCAAAACAGACAGACTGACGGACCGTCAGTCGCAATGTGACTTGGACTTGGACTATTGAGCCACATACTAGAGAGAGTAACCAGTCAATTAGAGTCTAGCATTCGCCTGAATGAGTTGAAGTCCATTGTTATGGAGTGAATGGAAATGACTACAGGAGAAGTATTTGTGAAACGACAGATGGCAGTTAATTGTGAAACTGTGAATTGTGTAAATGTAAGAAGGAGTGTGGAATAAATTCGCTATATCCAATACGACGTGAAGTTATTTTCGCGTTACATACCCAACACGTGACAATACGCATCTCTTCTTGGTCAGCACCTCGCGCGGCAGAGAACCTGTTTGAGCTCCACTAAACAATTCATCTTTCCTTCGTCACCCTGAGTTTACATGACCACGACCGCTTATATGGAATCGTGAAACATCTACAAAAGAGGGCTCTCCAAGTACCGGTTGATCATCCT